AGAGACCACTGGAGTGCACACTGTGTGGGAAGAACAGTCCAGAGACCACTGGAGTCCACACTGTGTGGGAAGAACAGTCCAGAGACCACTGGAGTCTACACTGTGTGGGGAGAGCAGTCCAGAGACCACTGGAGTCCACACTGTGTGGGAAGACATGAGTCATGTTCAGTCTTACATCGTTTTACATAAGGGGCTTGAGAAGATTTGGCATCCATATGGTGTTCTGAAACTAATTCTCAACAGATATCAAGATAAGACACTCTCCCCCACATCTTACTCTTTCTGCGCACACATTCGTGTGTGTGTGTGTGTGTGTGTGTGTGTGTGTGTGTGTCTGTGTCTGTCTGTCTGTCTGTCTGTCTGTCTGTCTGTCTGTCTGAAAGGTGAGCTCAGGAGACAACAAACAGTAAGGACATCCTTTCTACTGGAAAAGTTCAGAGAGGAGATGGGTGAGGTCTCTAGTGTGGCCACAGCTGGCTTCCATGTGTAAACGTTTGTAGCAGAGGGCAGATGAGGCCAGGAGGGGGCTCTTTCCAGAACTGGGAGTTCAGGAAGGCCTTTAAGTGGGGACCAGAGAAAAGATAACTGGAGTCTAGAGAAATCGAGAACTCGACAACACACAAACAGCTCTATCCTTGAAGGCAGAACACACAGGAAACACCTTCTTCAGTTTTGCTAGAACTAAATGACAAAGCCTTTATCCTTTAGTTAACAAAAAAATGAAGGCAGGTTTTGCTTCTTGATTTATTTGAGACAGTGTCACTTTGTAGTCCAGGCTGGCCTGGTGTTTATTACGTAGACCAGGCTGGCCTCAAACTTGCAGTAATACCCCTGTTTTTGCCTCCTGAGTGTTGAGATCACAGGCATGAGCCACTGTACCGAGCAGAAATAGGGTCTTGATAAGTTGCTCACATTGGCCTCAGTCATAATTCTCCTGCTTCAGCTTTCTAAGTGGCTAGGACTACAGGTGCCTGGCTTAAATAAATGATCAAAAATAATTTTTAGGGTGGTGAGTATACTTACTGGCCACCTGGGGATGAGACAGAGTTTGGGCATGGCCAACAGAGCCCCAGACACCAACAGGGGCACAGAGACCAGGGAGGTACATGGGCCCGTGGCCCAGGAATAAAACAGGGCCTGGGCATGTGCAAGGCCTGGGGTCCTAGGCCTCAAGCACTAGTGAGTGCACCAATAGCACAGGGCATTAGTGCTGCTCTCAGCCTAGATCAGAGAACTCTCTGTAGCAGACAGGGGTAAATGCAGAGGCCCACGGCTGGTCAAATGCTGAGGACAGTGATTGCTGAGAGCTCAGTCTTAAAATGGGTACCACTTTCATCCCTCCAAAGACCAGGGAACGCCATGAAAAAGGAGGAGGCTATAACAGAAGAGCCAGGGGATATGACATGCTGTCTATGGGGACGCCATGGCTTTGGCACTCAGGAGTCTGTATACAGGTAAGGGAGGGGGGCTGTGGGAGGGGAGGAAGTCATTGTCTGCAGGGTGTCGTCTCAGCACCAGGAGCTGCTCAGGCTCCAGGGTACGGCTCTATTCCATGCCCATGTGGGCTGCCCTGCCTGAGCCCTGTGGGCCATGAAGTAAAAAGAACAAAACAGAAAGACAGGAGGGTGGGCTTGGGAGGGTGGCGGGGGAAGAGAGCCCTGGGCTGACTGTGAGCAGAGTACACGATATACATGTAAGGAACTGTCAAAGAACAAGTTAATAGGAATTATTAAGCTAGTTGAAATTCTCTTCCTAAGACTTTTAGTTTCTAGAGGCATCAAGAAAAATGCACGTTACTGTCCTAGGAAGCTTGATTTAAACACAAACCTCTTCAAGGGAACAGCACAAGCTCCCAAGCAGACAACCGCTGTTTCCTATGCCAGAATGGTTTCAACCCTCCCTGAAACTGAATCTACTGGACACAGAATTCCTCCACCTCAGTGTGATTTGTCCTGTTGTCTGTTTCTCTTGAGAGGAGGAGGAATGTTCTCTGCCTTGTACCGCCTGGGACGCGGCCTCTGGAATCATGTTCTGTTTACAGCTGTACCCAGACAAACATAGAAATGACAAGGGAAAGAACTGCTGAGCCCCGCCCCCCCGCCCCGCCCCTCACCCCCCAACTCCCTGTGTACTCACTTAAATGTGACATGCAGAAGGATCTTTGCAACGACGGCTGTGACTGTGAGGATGAGGAGGGTGGCTAGGCCATATACGGTCCATCCTGCAAGTGCAGAGAGCTTTGTCTGTCTTCATTTGCCAAAGGAGATGGCAGCGGGTGGGGGTGGGGTGGGGTGGGATGGGAGGGGTGGGGTGCGGTGGGTGGGGTGGGGTGGGGTGGGAGGGGTGGGTGCGGTGGGTGGGTGCAGAACTGGCTCTGTCAACTCCGCTCTGTCCCTGTGGGTGGAGCAGCCGGCAGACCTGGAGCTGGGCTGAGCATGGAGCTTTCTTATGACGGCCTTGTTCTGAAACTCCCTCTGGTAAATCCAAACACTAGACTCGGAGTCAACAGGGGTGTGGTGAATCTGTCCGCCACTAGAACTCATCAGTTACCTACAAGTCTTTGAGTCCTAGTTTTCTCATCTGAGCGATGAGAAAGAAGGGTGACCTATGAAATCCTACTGGACCCCACAGCCACAGGAGTGGGGCTGCAGAGGCCTCCCTCCCTGACCTTTTATGGTGAGATCTACAGAGGCCAGGGAGCAGTGGTAAGTCCTCAAGACCAAACTGTAGATGGCAGTCCTCTTCAGTGCGCCAGCTCATTCCGGGACCTCATCCTCAACAGAAAAGGAGGGAAGGGCATCTGCAGCCAACTCCACTAGCTCAGCCACAGAGGATCATGGCCCATGGTCTCTCCTGCATGGCCTCTGACAGTGTCTCTGGTGTCCTTCCTCCCACTGGGAGCCCACAGGGAACATGCACAGCAGTGTCCTAGCATTCTGCGCATTTCACTCTGCAGAAGAGGAGGGGTGTCCGCCCTCATGCTGCCCACAATGTGGAGACTGGACTCCTGTTTCCAGACAAAAGAAGGGCAGGGGTTTATCCGGGTCAGTGTATGGTCCGGTGTTTAGAACAGGGCATCACTGAAGGAATTCTGTATCTTTTGGTTTTAGCTTTTCCCCTCCCTTTTGGTGCCTGGTCTAATGGCTAAGCCACCTCCAGCCTGTATGTACCTTTTGAGTCAACACATTTGAGGAGCTCTACCCTGGGGCTCTGTGGGGGGCCATCCCACTCCCACTTTCCCCCAGAGTACTCTTGAGCAGGAGCAGCAGGAAATATTAGATAGAAAAATAGCTAGAGAGAGACAGACAGAAAACACAGGATAGCTTTTGGGAGGGCCTGGCTCCTAATCCAGGCCCTGACTGTCTCTGCCAAAGGGCTTTTAAAGGAGTACCAAGGGGTGGAGGAAAAGACCTCCCCACCAGCACAGCCACTGCAGACCCTTCCAGACACCGGGTGACCACGCCTGTGCTCAGTCCACCCCCCAATGCAGCCTCGCTGTGTGAAGCAAGCTCAGATCTCACTAGGAAACCTCTGTGGACCCCAACAGGGCTCTCAGCATGATTTTTTTTTTTTTAAATGATGAAGAGTCCAGCTTAGCTGCTGATCACAGGTACAGAACCCATCTTTGGAAGGGAACTAAGTTGGTGAGAGCATTTCTCTCAAAGGCCATGCAGACTAGAGGTTGCAGAGCCAATATCCCAACCCGTGTCTGAAGGAGAAGCACCCACAAGCGCCTCTGTTTCTGTAAGTGTTGAGAGAACTACCTTCCACTCTGTGGCCGCTGGCCCCAACCGATGGCGCCCAGGAGTGGCTACCTGGGACAGTCTGCGGTGGATGGCTGGGGCTGGTGGTGATGACGTAGAGGACTTTGGAAGAGTGGGCAGCGCTGACGCTGAGGTTGGCCTGTTCGGTGATCACCTCTGCCAGTGTCTGGTTGACTGCAGGCCTCTCCTGTGGTGGCTCTTCCTTGGTGGCTAGAAGATCAAAAGAATTAACCAGAGAAAGCCAAGGAAGACAGCAGGAGGGAGGACACGGCTCTGACTAGGATGAGGCCTCTTCTATTTTTCTTTCTCTGTGTGTGAGAGAATGTTTTGCGTGTGTGGGGGTGTACATGCATGTAGGATGCATGTACATGTGAAGGCACAAGGGTGATGTTGGGAATCATCCCTGAACACTCTTCCATGTTCCAGTAAGGCAGAGTCTCGAACAAACGCAGAGCTCCCCAGTATGGCGAGTCTTGATAGCCTGTTCTGGGGATCCCATCTCTACCCCACAAGGCTGGCATCAGAGGTGGGCCACCACACCCACTCTGCATTTATGTGCATTGGGGGGGGGAGGGTCATGCTTGTTCAGCCCCTAACCACTGAACCATCGCCTCTACACTTACTTCTTTTTGAGACAGGGTCTCATATAGCCCAGGCTGGCCTCCAGCTATGTAGTTGAGGATGGCCCTGAACTTTTTTTTTTTTTTGAGACAGGGTTTCTCTGTGTAGTTTTGGAGCCTGTCCTGGATCTTGCTCTGTAGACCAGGCTGGCCTCGAACTCACAGAGATCTGCCTGGCTCTGCCTCCCGAGTGCTGGGATTAAAGGCATGCGCCACCACCACGTGGAGGCCCTGAACTCTAATCTCCCTGCCTCTACCACCCACGAGCTGGTGTTTGCGGTGTACACCACAACTGGTCAGTGAGGTGTGCGCTGACTCACGTCTGCACGCCGTCTCCTCTGCTGGTCTCCCTGGTGGCAGAGCAGCACCTGTCAGGCTAGGTCTGGCTCTGCAGGGCGGAAGGTAGAGGCTGCTCTGGTCAGGCAGGGGACCTGCCTCCTCGGCTCCCTCTGTGTTCTGCAGTACCTCCTTGTAATGACAGACCCGGTCCCACCTGTTCACTAGTCGGCCCCACGTCCTACAGCCCTAACTTCTTTTGGGATGTGCAGTCCAATACCTGTGCTGCTCAGGCGCCAGCAAAGGCTCCTGTTTGCACACGTGTGTTCATATCAGTGGGGCAGAGTGTTTCGTCTCTGAGGAAAGACGGTGAATTAGTCTGTGGGACTGCCTGGGGTGTGTAGAAGAAGTAGGATGGATCAAGTGACCACTTAAGAGCCTTTCAATTCTGCCAGCCACCTCCTTTAATCTATCATGTAGCTGTCTGCAAAACTGAAACTGAAACTACTCACTTCAGCCTAGAGAGATGGTTCTCAATGCCTGCTTTCTCAGAGGACCCGAGTTTGGTTCCCAGCACCTACGTGAGGCAGCTCACAACTGCCTGCCTATACCTCTAGCTCCTGGTGACCTGATGCCCTCTTCTGGCCCCGGGAGCACCACACATGTGCATATACTCACACAGATGTAAATACAATCTAAAATAAACAAAAGCTTTAAAACAGTAAAACTGGAATGTAAACCAATTGTGCACTGGAAGGTGGGTGTTGTACACAGAAGGTGGGTGTTGTGCACTGGAAGGTAGGTGTGGTGCACTGGAAGGTGGGAGTTGTGCACTGGAAGGTGGGAGTTGTGCACTGGAAGGCGGGTGCTGTGCACTGGAAGGTGGGAGTTGTGCACTGGAAGGTGGGAGTTGTGCACTGGAAGGTGGGTGTGGTGCACTGGAAGGTGGGTGTGGTGCACTGGAAGGTGGGTGTGGTTCACTGGAAGGTGGGAGTTGTTCACTGGAAGGTGGGAGTTTGTGCACTGGAAGGTGAGTGTTGTGCACTGGAAGGTGGGAGTTGTGCACTGGAAGGTGGGTGTGGTGCACTGGAAGGTGGGGAGCTGTGTGATGGTAAGTGGGGGATGAGTCAATGTTGAAACCATCTGCAGCTGAATCAGTAGGTCCAAGTCTGCCCCAAAAGAACCACTTTAGGCTTGAAAACCCTAGGGAGGAGAGAAGGCCGAGGCCCCTGTGCCCCAGAGACAAGAATGTCTTACCTTGGTATAAGACAGCAAATCCCTGGGCCTGATTGATGCGATCAGAGAAGAAATACAAAATGACAAAATCCAGAGAGATATTAAAGGACAAAGGCGGGTGGTTTCTTCCATTGAAACGGACCAGGACACGGTGGGTATAGCCATCCAGCAGCTCCACCATGTCTGCAGAATCCCTGATATCAAATAAGGTGAAGTTGAAATGGATGTGAGAGGCTCCTGGCACCCGGATAGTCCAGTAGCAGACCCGCCCAGTGGCGTAGGTGTCAGGGAAGTCAGGCGAGTAGACCACGGCGGCCATGGCTGAGTAGTTTCCACCGCAGGCGCCCACGAGAGCTGCAGAAGAGAAAACAGTGGGCCTGAGTCTCGGCCCTGGGCTCCTCTTTAATTGGGCACAAACAAACTCCTAAGAAATGTGATCCAGTTAGGGACATTGTTTCCAGCTACAAAACCAGACCATCTTGGGTTTTAGGTGGATCAAATCACAAAAGGAATCACTTACACCCTGAACGAATGACTGTACAGACTATTTGGTTTCCCCCGGGAGACCTTACACTTAGTGCTCGGAAGAGCAGCCTACACTGGGGTCTGGCTGGAGTCAGACAGTCTGGATTCAGGACTAGCAGAGCCATGTGATCCTAGAGGCTGCGCCTCATTCCCAGGCCTCTCACTGGTGTTTCCACTTTAGGGCTGCCACCTGCTCCTGTATCCCATGACAGTGAGAGGCCATGAGATAAAGTGCATGGAAACCCTGGGACCTCCTGGCAGAGGAGGGGCTGCTGGAGACTGAAGTCACAGAGGGGAGGCTCTGCGTCTCCTCAGAGGTGCAGTGCTCTTGTGAGAGGTCCACAGGAGTTCTGGACTGGAAGGACTGGCAGAACAGCTCTGCAGGGGAGCACTAGCCCAGCGTGTGCAACCATGGGCTGCATCCCCAAAAGCATGCAAGAGGGAGGAGAGAGGTGATCCCAGATTCATGATATTCTGTACCAGCCATGCTTTCCTGGACTCGTTTTTTGATTGACAGGCCCTTAGAAAGGTGATACAGCCACTGTCTGTCTTACATAATTACCATCGTGGGAATGAAAGACTTCAGGAGGGAGTGTGGGAATAGGATTTAAAAGAAAGTTTATTTCTCAGTGCTGAGATGGAACCCAGGGCCATGAGCACGCTCAGCAAGCACTCTTCCACTGAGCTCCAGCTCCAGCAGGCTTTAGGGGGTTTCTTCTCTGTTTAGCATACAGAAAAGCAATAAAAGTATGCTGCTTTGCTGGTCCTGGTGGTGCAGGCCTGTAGCCCTAATGCTGAGGAGGCTGAGGTCAGAGGATGGTCAGTTCAACAGCCTGTCTCAAAACACCAGCGGCTGGCGAGAGCTCAGTGGTAGCTCCCTTGACTAGCATGTGAGTCCCTGGGGTTGATCTCTAGCACTGGAAAAGACAAACAAAGACAAAGCAAGCTGCTTTCTCATCCGAGTGATGAGAAAGCTCGAAATCAGAAGCCGAGGTCTCAAGACAACCGAGGAAATTTCACACTAACAAGTATGAATCGGGCCACAGCACTGGGCTCATGTGTGCCAGGGCACAGGGGCGAGGTGAGCACCACAGAGCACATCGACGACGGCTGCAGCTGAAACTGTAGAGGTTCCCAGGGGCCATGTCAGCCTGACCTCCTCCCCACTGAGGACACTACGAGCCTGGGATACAGTGATGTCTGCATTCACTGGCAAGCTCTTCTGCACAGGCCTCCCAGTGCTGGCAGGAGGGACCAGGCTCAAGCAGCCAGCCAGCGTTCCCCTCGGTGGCACAGATGTGCAGGAGGCCATAGGCTGCTGCTAAGGGGCAAGTCTGGAGCACCTCCTGCTTCCTGGGCCCTCAAAGGAAGCAAAACCTCCAGTTGCTGGGAGAGGGCAGTTAACCCATTGCTCCCAGGGCCATTGGAGAGAGGCAGAGGTGAAACATGTTTGTGTCTGGGGAGGGAGGAGATTACTTTCTTAGTAACAAGTAACTTTCAAATAAAAAGGCTACTGCCTCTGGGAGAAGAGACAAAGCAAAAGACCTCAGCCCCTGGTTGCCTTAAGGCCTCCTTGAGAGAGAACAGGATTCTCTACCAAGTTCCACCAAAGAAGTAGTGTATGGCTGCCGGGGGAGCGGAGGCTGGCGAACCACTCCATCAATCACCTTGCTCCTGTGGCTAGTAGCATGTCCTAAGCTGAAGATAGGCAGGGGCACCAGCAACCCCCATGCCTTCCCACACAGCACCAAGTAACAGACAATGGCTGTCTCCCACAAGGGCAGGACACAAAAGGACCTGCTCAAGGCTGAGAGTGGAGCAGGACACTAAAACCCCACGCTCTACACTAAGCACAACTTCAGGGATCCGAGGGAACCTGAAGGACACCAATGGGAAGGACAGAAAAACAGCCCAAACCTAGCTCAGCTACTGAGAGACCTAGTTCCCAAACTAAGCAGGCCGCCCAAGTGTAAATGCTATTTACTTTAGCATCTACCATTCTACCTGCACTGTGTGGCATTAAGCAGAATACCACATCACACACACAAAAGCAAGATAAAATGGGGAAAGATTCATTGCCAAGATATAAAGCAATCCACAGAACAAGATCCACGAGTGACCCCGATGCCGGAGCTACCAGACACAGAGGCTACATAATGAACACGGTTCTATCTACAGTGAAAAGGACAGCTCACTGGGACGGACTAGAAGTCCCAAAGGAGATGTGGAGCTACAGTAAGAGTCAAATGCACTGGCAGGGTACTCCAAGATTGAACTTCTAGCACTTAGAAGACAGAGGCAGGAGGATTAGAAATTTAAGGTCAGCCTTGTCTCAAAAACCCCAAGGAGCCGGGCGGTGGTGGCGCACGCCTTTAATCCCAGCACTCAGAAGTCAGAGCCAGGCAGATCTCTGTGAGTTCGAGGCCATCCTGGGCTACCAAGTGAGTCCCAGGAAAGGCGCAAAGCTACACAGAGAAACCCTGTCTCGAAAAAACAAAACAAAACAAAACAAAAAAACAAAAACCAAGAACAAAAAAACAAACAAAAAAACCCCCAAGGACCCAAGTTTAGTTCCCAGCACCCATGTCAGATGGCTTACAACTGCCTGTAAATCTAGCTCCAGCGGCTCTGAGCCCTCTTCTGGCCTCTACTGGCATTGTACTCATGTATACACACACACACACACACACACACACACACACACACACACCCCTAAAAATAAAGACAAAATTAAAAACCAAACAAACAAACAAACAAACAAGCTAGCAAAATGAGGCCAGTGGTGGCGCACACCTTTAATCCCAGCACTTGGGAGGCAGAGGCAGGTGGATCTCTGTGAGTTTGAGGCCAGCCTCGTCTACAAAGTGAGTTCTGGGGCAGCCAAGGACAGCTAAGGCTACATAGAAAAACCCTGTCTCGAAAAACCAAAAAAAAAAAAAAAAAATCAAACCAAGCAAAACCAAAACAACAACAACAACAGCAACAAACCACCCCCAAACCAAAAACAGAAACAAAACAAAATCCAAACCAAATCAAACAAACAAAAAACCCAGCGTCAAATGTAAATGCTAGAAAAAAAATTACACACCATCAGTGATGGAGTAGTCCTTTGATTTACCTGCACACCGAGTGCAGCTGAGGAAGACCCACTAAAGACATGTCAGTAACACAGATGGTCCAAAATGAGACAGAGGAAACGACGAGAAGAACAGAGCACCCGACCTCTGAAGACGGAGCTGGCAGTGCTAAGAATGCCCACCTGCTGTGTGTGAGCGCACACAGGCAGGAAGCAGAGCTTCCATGGACCATGAAAGAGTAATAATCGGGCACACTGGGCATCACTGACCATCGACTTAAACGCAGAAAACTGGATCAGTTATTACAATCTATTTATTTTATTATTGTTAATAAAAGGGATCCTAGCTGCGAAAAAGAATTAAAACTGGTAAACTTGGGTTTGACTCTTGGCTCTGGTACTTCTGACTGAGGTAACTGACTTTATCTTTGGAGTTTCTTCGTTTGTTTGTTTGAGACAGGATCCTACTGTGCAGCCGAGACAAGCTTTGAGGTAAACACACTGTACAGACAATGTCCAAGTTAGAACCTGCAAGCGATTGGTTATAAGCTGGGCTGGGCTGGACAGATACGTTATACGATGACTGAACTGTGTCCCCTGAAAGGATGGATTCAGTTCCTACTACTAGGGTCTTTACACATGCAATCAGGTTAGGATGGTGTCACATGGTTAGAGGGCGTTTGAAGTCCAGTGGCCAGAGCCTTCATGAGACGCACAGAAACAGATACACAAGGTGGGAGGATGATAACGTTCAGGGAAATAGAGGGAGTGGGCGAAGCTGCTGGAATCCAATGGATGCCGGAGATAGCTGATGATCCTCTGAATCTGCAGTCTTCCCTACAGGCTCATCTTTTGATCTGTTGTCCCCAGCTGGCAGTGCTACCTGGGAAGGCTGTGGCACATTTAGGGGACAGGCCTAGCTATGTCACTAGGGGTGGGCAGATGAAGGTGATATGTTACACTAATCCCTGGCTCTGGTACCTTCGATGATTCCTGGTCTATCACCATGTGAACAGTCTCTCCCTCATGGTCTTGTCACCATGAACTGAACTGTTCTGCCGTCCTTCCTGCCATGACAGAGAGAGCGAACGCTTCCTTCTGGAAGCTGTTCCTGTCAGGTGTTTGGTTAAAATGACACAAAAGTAACTAACCCAGACACCTGGTACTAGGGAAGCAAGCCCCTGCTGTAGCTCCCCGCCACGTCACTGTTAAGGGCTTGGGAACCGGTCTAGAGGAGGAGGGTAGAGGTTGGAGATGCAAGTCGGAGACGTCTCGAAGTGATGTCAGTCTACTGAAGTAATTCTAGAGGGCATGCAGAAGCCAGAGCATGACAGGAGTGGGATCCTGAGCCCTGTGGGGCTTCCGGTCAGAGCAAGGGCTCTGTGAGCACAAGTGCGCCCGTTCTGTGAATTCTGGCATAGCATTTGTCTGTGTCCTGCTGTGTTCTGAAACAGGAATGGAAAAGAACTCAGCAGAAGAACTTTGAAGACAGCACAGCATTCTGCTTGTGATGTGGTTACTATGGGTGTCTTTTGGCCAGGTTTACCATGAGACTTCAGAGAAAAAACAGCAGAAAATGAAATAAACAATTTGGCCAGAAATGAGTGTGTTTAAAGTCACAGACAAAGCAAATTGGAAGAAGAGGCCACAGCTGTCAAAGAGAAGACTGCCGCTCTGACTGAGACAACGCAGTTCTCTGCCGGCACTTCGGAAGGAGGTGGTAAGCTGTCACCCCTGAGGGCTGTAAGACGGAACATTCCTCCAGGAGATTTTACAGGGGAGCAGGACAGCCACGGTGCCCTGCTAGAGAAGGGCTGCCTAGAGAAGTGTTTGCCCAGCTGACGTGCCTCGGCACTCAGGCGGCTGCAGCACAGTGCAAGCAGGCCTGGGGACATCGCAGGCGTCAGCAGAGCTTGGCACTGTAATATGGTACTGGTTTTGCTGGTGTGCCAAGTACAAGAACTACGGAGTCATGGCGGTTTGACTGACAGCCGTGTGTGCTGTGTATGGGGTCAGAGGACACCTCAGGTGGACACTTCAGGAGCTGTCTACCTTGTTTCTTGAGACAGGAGCTTGCCAAGCTGGCTCTGCTGGCTAGCCAACGAGTCCCCGGGATTGACCTATCTCTGCCAGTGCTGTGATGACAAGCAGGTGTCACCAGGCCCAACTGAGATTTCTCCCCAGACCTCCACCGACATTTTTAAGGAAAGCTTGGGAGGCTGTCAATAAGCAGCAGTGTGAGGTTTCCCCGAGGAAAGCCCTTGACAGACTGTGTGAAGCTGTGAGAATACAGCAGCTGTGGATGGAGAGACCTTGGGGCATGCCAGCTGCTGTGGGATGGTCCTTCTGTATGCTGTGGCTACGTATTGCTCTCATTGGTTGATAATAAAGCTGTTTTGGCCTATGGCAAGGCAGGATGAGGTTAGGCAGAACAATCACACCGAGGACCCGGAGGAAGATGGGTGGAGTCGAGGGTAGGTGAGCCAGTCACCCAAGGAACAAGATGCCAGAGAACTGGTAAGCCATGGACTACGTGGCAATTAATAGATTAGTAGAAATGGGTTAATTTAAATGTAAGAGCTAGTTAGTAATAAGCCTGAGCCATCAGCCAAACATTTATAATTAATATAAGCTTCTGTGTGTTTATTTGGGACTAGGCGGTTGAGACAGAGAAACTCCTTCATTTACAGCCAGGAGCGTGGGGTGTCTGTTGGGAAAAGCTGCAAGCAAAGAGTGAAGCCAGACCAAGAGGATGCTACAGGGTTCACAGTTCAAAGTCTGCCTAAGTTTCGGAAGAGACTTTAGACATTTGAACAGAGTTGGGGCTGTTAAGCCTGGGGGTTGGGAACTAAGGAGATGGATGGCTTAGGAGTTAAGAGCACTGGCTATTCCGCTAGTAGACTTGAGTTCAATTTCTAGCATGCACATGGCTTCTCATGACTATCTATGACTCCAGCTCCAGGGGGTCTGGCCTCTGAGGACATCAGGCACGCATGTGGTACACAGACACACATACAGCCAAAGCACCCACAAGCAAAACAAAAACAAATAAAGTCATGGGTTTAAAACAAAGACTGTGAGGACTTCTCAGGTGGACTAAATATATTTCGCACTATGAGATGGCTATGAACTTGGGGGGTCTGAGGTGAATGTTACCACTTGGGTCTGAAATGTCTTTGCTCGTTCCTCTGGTTGGGAAGCTATGGAATGGATGCAGATGGAAGAAGTAAGTTCCTCCAAGGGGCGGGCCTTTCAAGGTCATAGTTCAGTGGCTGGTCCTAGCACTCTCCTGCTCAGCCGACATGAACAGTTTCCACCGTGTAGTCCTGCCACGAACCAAAGCCACGCCATCACTCCCTCCTGCTCTACGGCCCTGCAATCCCTCCGATGCCACGGGCCAGAAGAAAGCCTCTCCTGCCGTGAGCTGTTTCTCTTCTGTGTTTTAGTCACAGTTCCTGGAGCCTTGGGCAGGAGCATGGCCTGATGACATCCTGACTGGGGGCTTCTCTCTTTTGTGAGAGAGCAAGTTCCTATCGATGTAAGCCCTACAATGTGTGATACTTCATTACAGCAGCTCTAAGACACAAGTCTTGTGAATGTTTGCTCAAAATGGAGCCCTGCCTAGTTGAGATGTCAGGAGTGAGGGCCCGGTCCCCAGGCCATCAAAGCCCCCGCAGATGGGCTAAATTACCCTCAGTAAGCCCACGGTCTCCCTGCCACCTTTCACCTGTGACCTTCTTTTCGAGTGTTCAAATCAGGCCACACCTCTCCTACGGCCTCACGCCACTGAGTATGCACGTGAATTATGACAAGAGTGAGCGCAGTGTCGGAGAGGTCAAGGCTCAGGACCCACACTTCGCCCAGCACGGCCTTGCCTCTCGCTGGCACCTCACAAATGTGGTGGGACAGAGGTGGTGGTTCAGGCAGATGCACAGACAGGCTGGGAAAATGAAGTGTTGGCCAGGTCATCTTCTCAGACGCACCTTGGTGAGGCAGAGCCCCAGTGCTTACGAACATGAACACGCAGTGAGGTTGTTTTCAAACAAGAGCTCGAGAGAGCAGACGCTACAGGAATGCCAGGGTATGCGGGAAGCCTAAGCCTAATCTTTCTGCTTGTCAAAGTAGCTCCAAGACCGCCTGGGGGAGGCACATGAGCACGAGGGGAACCAGGAATGCTAAACACAGGCTAGTCCCTTCAAAGAGAGGGACGCATAACCTGTTGTCCACCCAGAAGGCTGGGAGGGGGCACAGTTAATAGCCTGGTGATGTATGTGCTGTGTGGCCAAGGCCACAGTGGACCCTCCCCCAAACCCTTATCATGAGCGAATCAATCTATAGAACCTATCTTTTTTTTTTTGGTTTTTCGAGACAGGGTTTCTCTGTGTAGTTTTGGTGCCTGTCCTGGATCTCACTCTGTAGATCAGGCTGGCCTCGAACTTACAGAGACCCGCCTGGATCTGCCTCCTGAGTGCTGGGATTAAAGGTGTGCACCACCACCACCCGGCCTATAGAACCTATCTTTATGGAAGATGTCACACATACTTTATAAAGAGTTTCCATGCAGTCATGTCTTAAGCTTTATTGTGCACACAGGACTGAGTTAATTTTCCTGACCACCAGGAAAATTTTCACCAAATTGTGCTATGTCTAAATATGCCTAAAATAAACTACTTGGGGGTCAGATCCCAAAGTTTGAACCAACACCAGCTACTGAGTCATGCTGAACTGAACTACCTTCTTGCCTCCCATGGGTCATTACTCTGCTGGCCATGGCGGTCTGTGATCAGCAATGACACCCACAATAGCCACGCTACTCAGAGCACTAGTCATAACTATAGATGACCACGTTAAGCACTGCTGTTTCTTCTAGAGGGAGTCAGAGTCGGCCTGCTCTGTGCTTCAGTCTCAAGGGCTGAGCTATGGTTGGCATCAGAGGACAGGTGCTTTTCGAGTACTGACAAGAGAAAGAATAAACAGATGGGGAGGTGGGTGCGGAGGCGTGTTGTCCCTGGTCACGCCTCTGGCACCAGACATACTCACTGTCAAAGACGATGATCCTGCCGTCCCCACCACAGGGCTGCGTGTGGTCCCCGAAGCAGACACTATTGCACTCGGTGCTGGCTGCCTCCCCGTGTTTCCAGTAGTCAGGGTTGTTCCCACAGAAGCAGGCGTAGCCTGACTCCATCCCAGCAAACTGTCACGACAGAAGAAGACTGTGAGGACTTCTAAGTTGGACCAAATGCATTTTGCACTATGAGATGGCTATGAACTTAGGGGGTCTGGGGTAAATGTTATCACTTGATGTTGGGAATGTTATGGGGGTGTCAGGTCCAAAGGAGGCTAGCAGCCCCTTCCCCCCAAGCCCCAAGCAATCAGCCTTAGTTTTCCAGCCCGTCCTTTCTTCTCCTTAGTTTTACTGCCTAGTTTAAGTTGGCCAGTAGCTCCACACCACTAGTGTGTTCCCTGTCCGTGAGAATTCCTTTCTGATGTTCTCATTCCCACTACACTGAACTAAATCTTTAAGGAGGACACCATTCCATGTTTACATGGAATACTGATAAAAACAGCCAAACCTTTTATTGACTGTTTACTATGTACCAGGCATTTTTATGTGTATGCGTGTTCTGCCTGCATGTCTGTCTGTGCATTGCATGTGTGTAGTGTCTGGAGAGGCCAGGAGAGGACACTGGATCCCTGAGACTGGAGTTATAGACAGTTCTGAACTGCCATGTGGATGCTGGGAACCAATGCCAGGTCCTCTGGAGCTTTAGCTCTCTCTCCAGTCCTCAAGAATTATTTTTTAATGTGTGTCTGTGTGTCTATCCATCTGCCCATCTGTGTGTGTGTGTCCATGTACATAAGTATAGGTGCCCACAGAGACCAGAAGGTGGTATTAGATGCCCTAATGCCTGAGTTCGGGGTGGCTGTGAGGAGCTCAACAGAGATGCCGGGAACCAAACTCAGGTCCTCTGCAAGAGCAGTCTCTCAGGCCCCGACATGCGCTTCCCAGCTGAATCTCACAGCAAACTCACTGAAACCCCATTTACATTCTCCTTTCATCTTTTAGGTTAATACACTGATGGAGCACACAGTCCTGCAGGAGCCAATCCTCAGACACAGAACAAGCTGTGCCACACCAGTAGCCTTCCTGCTCTTGCTCTCTACTCCCTCCCACAGACCCTACAACTATTACCCGTTTCTCTACTAGTATCATTTTGTTATTTTTAGAACATAAAACAGCTTAAACAACAACAACTCAGCATGGCTGTGAGGTTCACGCACATTGGAGCATATGCCAACAGTTCACTCCTTTATTTCACCTAATACAGTTCTGTATAAATGTGGACACGGCACCAGTGATTCATCCACTTCCAGGTTTTCATGATGATGAATACAACTGCTATAAGCAACTGTGTACAGATCTTGTGTGGATGTAAGTTCTCATTTGTCCTGGGAATAATTAGGGGTGAGATTATTGGGTTTAACTTTATTAAAGAAACCACCAACCTTTCCCAGGACTAAGCTGCATCACCGACCCTGCGTGGGAGCTGTCACTGCTCTGGACCCTCATCTACACCTGCCACTGTAGGTCTAGTTGACTTTAGCCACTGATGTTTGCGTGTCTGATGGTGGCTGTAGTTTGCATTAGTTTAATGACCGATGAGGATGCATATAAGTTCATTTGCTCATTTGCCACTGATGAGTCCTCTCTGGTGATGAATTGTTTGTTTTCTTTTGCTTACTCCAAAACCTTGTTGCCTGATACTTTACTTTTGTGATCTTTAGTTTTTCACACGTTTTGGATCAAGACTGACCCTGACGGTGGGCAGCAGCCTGCCTTGGGCTGAGGCCCCAGATTTAACAAAAGGAGGAAGTGAACTGAGCACCAGCACCAGACCGTTCTGCTTTCTGACTGTGGTACAATGTGGCACCTGCCTCAAGCTCCTGACGGCAAGCCTCAAAGCATGAGCTAAAATAACCCCTCCTCCTTAAGCTTCTCTGTCACAGAGTGAGCAGTGACCATCTCGGGGTCCAGACGCTATCATGCACGTGATAATCCTCCTGCTTCAGTGCTATTTGTTGAAGACTATCTTCCTACTCTAAGATCTTGGCAATTTTGTTGAAAATCAACTGACCATCGATTTATAGACTCAGTTTTGAATTGTGAAGTCTATTCTTCTGTATGTCTATTTTTATGACACTCTCACAGTAACTGTTTTCTGTAGTTTAATTTAAAGTCAATCTTTGTCTAAGCTGTGATGCAAAACTAAAGACTTATTTTTCTTCACAAAGAGCTACACTGTTTCTTCAGAAGTATTTGATGACAATCCTTCACTGTTGAACTGCCTTGAGACTTTCATAAAAATCAATTGTTTGCATGTGTGTAGGTCTGTTTCTAGATGGTTCCACTGATCTACAGCAGATTTCGGAAAACCCTTTCTATAAAGGCCAGAAGTAAATACTATTTATTCTGTGGGCTATGTAGTCTCTTTCTCTACCCAGCTTCGTGGTCACACAATGAAAACAGCTACAGATGATATGTAAACGAATAGGCATGGCTCTGTTTAATAAAACTTTATTTACCCAAACAAAAAATAATAGATGGGTGGTTGGATTTGCCTGTGGGCAATTTCTGACTGGCTCCTGACTTACTCTCTTGGTGACAGCAGCTTTTCAGAGGTCTACAGGTCAGGTGAGGAAGTCTCACAAAACTGCCCTTTACCAAGATCGCTTTGGCAATCCTAAACCCTCTGTCAGGGTCAGCCATTTTTCCTTTGCATTGTTAGGCACTGATACTGCCCTGGCCTTGCTTGTCCTGGGCAAGCTTTACTACTGAGTGTTAGCTCCAGAGTAGCTTGCCATCTTTTCAAAGCTCGATTTTTTATTAGGGTTCCATGTAATTTATAGAGTAACCTGGGGCAATTACCACTTTAATAATATTCTCATTGCCTCAGCTGTAAACTGAGGTCTGCACCATCATCTATGAGGTCTTCTTTAGTTCTCTACAGTCTTATTAGTTTCTGAATGAGCTCTTAAATCTCCTTTATTAACCTCCTCACTGTTGCTCCCAGTGCTGAGGGATGGAGGGCTTCACACATGCCAGGCACTGGGTAAAACTCTGGGCCTGACTGTCAAGCGACCTTTACTTTTGTAAAATGGTGAGATTTTCTTTTCTAGTCTTTCTTTTTGAACAAAGGGCTTATTGAAATATAATGCAAAAGAGCATCTGGTGAGCTCCCAGAGAAGAGATATATAGTACTATTATCATTAGTATATATAGTATTACTACCATTATTTGTTTAGAAGCTTAAATTGTTAATTGTTCACTGCTAGTATATGGAAACGTATCTTTTTGTATGTGACCTTATAACTTACAACCTTGTTAAACTTATTGATTTTAGTCCCTTTTTTTGTAGGTTCCTTAGAATGTTGTATTAAATAAAAACCAGTTCTTACTTTGCAATCTATTCACCTTATTCCTTTTTTAATTTTTTAAAAATATTTATTTTTATTTCATGTGCATTGGTGTTTTGATCTTCATGTATATCTGTATGAGGGTGTTGGATTTTCTGGAACTGAAATTACAGACAGTTGTGAGCTGGGAATTGTGAGCTATGAGTTGTGGGTGCTGGGAATTGAACCCAGGTCCCCTGGAAGAGCAGCCAGTGCTCTTAACCACTGAGCCATCTCCCCAGCCCTTATTCCTTTTTTAAAAAACCTGTATATACATATTTTCAAGACAGGGTTTCTCTGTGTAACAATCCTGGCTGTCTTCAAACTCATTTTATAAGACCTGGCAGGCCTTGAACTCACAGAGATCTGCTTGCCTCTACCCCCGAGATTTGAATTAAAGGTGTCTGCCGCCATTGCCCAGCTTTAAAAACCTATTTCTTTGGCATGATCCTCCAGGCCAATGAGGTAAGAATGGGTATTACTGGCTGCTCATGATACTAGTTAGGAAACATGGAACCCTTCACAACAGTGTAGTGTATTAGCTGTAGATATTTTAAAATAGGTACTTTAAATTACATCCAGGCACTATGATGCATGCCTGTAATCATAGTACTTGGGAGAGGAAGGCAAGGAGGACCAGGAATTCAAGGTCAGCTTGGACTATATGAGTCTCTCTCTCTCTCTGAGTCTCTCTCTCTGAGTCTCTCTCTCTCAAACACACACACACACACACACACACACACAAACACACACACACACACACACAAACACACACACACATTTATTGAAACTTGAGACAAAGTCTCAAATGTAGCTGTGGTGGGCCTATAACTTGCCATGTAGATCAGGCTGGCCTGGCCTGGCACTCATAGAGATCAGCCTGACTCTGCCTCCCTGGTGCTGGGATTAAAGGTATGTGTCATCATGCATGGTCATTGTGGGAGATTCTTAAGAGTAGGTATGCTTTCACCCAAATAGTGAGGATTTGGGATATCTGTAGAGCTTGATGGCCATTTCCTATCAATCATTACTATGACAGCTGTCATATGGAAATAATTACCTCATTTCTTCTATACTTACTAGTTTACATTCACTAATCAGGAATGTTTATCTTTTCATTCATTCATCACTGTGGAGTGGTGTGCTCTTATTTTAGTCAATAAGATGCATTTATTACTACCATTATCTGAAGCTTAAAGCATGTCAGGTTTAGGTCATGGGACCACCTTCAAGGTGGCTTTGTTCCTTTGATAAATCTGTATTAATGTTTCCACCCTACATGAGGTGTTTTGAACACATCTTGTGCTTTCTCAGAACCAGCACAACATGGGTAATATCCCCACAAGCTTCTTGGTTATCAGTGTGCAGCAACAAGGCTCCTGCTGGACGGTGATGAAGTGTTTGTGTGTACATACACAGTCACTGCATGACTATATATATCATTATCTACCTCTCTAGAATCAAAGCCATGAACTAACACTATCCAATCCCCTAGAACACGACCTATGGGCTTCACTTCAGTTTTTTTCCAGCTTCCACGTTTATACAGCGCTGCTCCAGTAGCTGGAATACACTAGCTTTGATACATTCATTATATGCTCAAGTTCTGCACAAGCAACCAACCACATGGTCATGGGGGTTCAGCTGCCTTGCTTATTCACCTGCCTCACATGAGCTTGAAACCCAGGCAGGGTACCCTCTTTCTTGGGCCTCATTAATGGCTTTAGACTGGCCCAGTTAGAGAAAGGGAGAGAAAACAACAGGAGAGAGAGAGGAATCGTTTTCTGTCTAATTTAACAAAAACCAGCACTACTGAACCTTAGTGATGGGGAAAAATTCCAGACAAGGAGGAGGAAGAAAAGAGAACATTTAGAGAAGAGGTAGGCCTTGGCAATTTGCCAAGGAAGGGGCCCACTGTCTCGGCTTGATTCTCTGTGGAGTCATTAACATCCTTGCTCATAACAGATCACAACTCAGTCAGAGGGCAAACAGGGGCTGCTACCCACTCCCCATCTTTAAACTGAGTGCTGCCTCGTGCTCCTGACTCCTGAGCCCACTCTTCCTGTGTGGCTTGATAGGTGGGCTGTTCTAATTTATCTTTATCGTCTCTGTACACTGTACATTTCTTATACACTACAGAGCTGGTACCTTGAACCTCTGACTCCGACAAAAGCTGATACAGGTTTGTATGGTGAGCTTGTTGGATGTTTTACTGGTGCCAGTGAGAGGAGGTGGGTTTCCATGATCCTTGTAGCAGCCAAGGTTTCCAGGCACTAGAGACAAACAAAACAAAAGAATTTCATAACATCTGGCTGGAAACCTAAGAAGGAGAGTCAGTTTGTGCCAGGTGTGCTTGTCCCACAGTGTGTACAGCCCTGAGGGACAACCCAAGCAAATGACAAGCTCTAAAACGGACCCCCTGGTGCTGTTCTCTGCCAAATGCCACACCATCTGTGAGAAAGTGTCACCTGTAGGTCCCCATTTAGCAACCTGGAGAGGTTTATTTTACTTTATCAGTGTTGGTAGAAACTGGTACTGCAGAGAGCCATGGGCATCTCTTAGGATGGAGAAGGTGGCTTTGCTTTTGGGGCATGGCAGCCATCTCCTAGTAATTCACCAAAATGACGGACAGAGAAGGAAAGAGCAGAGGATCCTGCTGTACGTTCTCTAGGCTTGTGGGAAACATGGAGGTGTCCCTTTGGCCACATACACACAAATCTACAGGAAGAGTGATATTGTAGACACCAAGGGAATGGACGCTGTTCAAAAAATAATGACCATAAGTGTTTCTATGGCAAAACTGGAAGCATCTATGCCACTCAGCAGGCCACGGGCATCATTATAAAGGAGCAGGTGAAGGGCAAGGTTCTCTCCAAGAGAAGTAATGGGCACACTGAACACTGAACATGTTAAGCACCAAGAGCTGAGCCAGCTTCCTGAAACTAGTGAAGACAACCAATCAGAAGAAAGGAGGCCTGGGGAAGGCACCTGTGCTCAGCTGGAGCCGGGAGCACGCTTCGTGGGAACTAACGGGAAGGAGCCTGCGTTGAGGGAGCTGCTCCCTATGAATTCACAGTGTAATGTACAAGAGAGTGAAAGACCTGACTGTAAAAACAAAACAAAACAAAACAGAACAGAGAAGTGGGCTGGCAAGGTGTCTCACGGCGAAAGGTGCTTTCTTGATGACCTCAGTTTGATCTCTACATAGCAGAGAGAACCAATTCCCAAAAGTTGTTCTCTGGCCTTCACACGTGTACTGTAGCATGTTCCTCCTCCCCTCCACCCCCAAAAGAACAGTGACGCAGTCAGATCTGAACTGTTCCACGGCTCCTGGAGGAGCAGGGTGGTAAGCCCGGCACAGCACCCCCAGTGTCTGAGGTTAAAGCAGAGATGGTAAATTTGAGGGCAGTCTAGGCTACACAATGCATTTAGACTTTGTTTCAAAAGTCAACAAACAAACAAGCAAAAAACAAAGGGGCTGGAGAGATGGCTCCATGGTTAAGAGCACCAGCTCTTCTCCCAGGGGACCCATGCTAGATTCCCAGCATCCAAAATGGTGGCTCAAGACAACATGTAACTCCAATTCCAGGCAATCCAGACACCCTCTTCTGGCCTCTGCAGGCATCAGGCATGCATATAGTGCACATACATACATGCAGGTACACACAGAGACACAACCAAACAACCCCAAACTCCCCAAAGGAACCTAAGTTAGCATAGTACAGAGAGATGTATATCCATGTTTACTGTGGGATCAACCTAAATGTCCATCAACAAATGAATGAACTAAAAAATGTGATTCACAAACAATGGAGTTTTATTCAACGATAAAGGAAAAAAATTATAGCTGGGTATGGTGGCACACACCTTTAATTCCTGCATTCAGAAGGCAGAGGCAGGAGGAGCTCTGTGAATTCAAGGCCAGCCTGGTCTACATAGTGAGTTCCAGGATAGTCAGGGCTACATAGAGAAACCCCCCCACTCAAAAAAATAAACAAACAAACAAACAAAATTATTCAGCTGCACACATGAACTCCCATTAACTGTGAAAGCAAGCACAAGCCCTGTGCAAACTCAAGCCGGACCAAATCCCAGCATGGAGAAGGGGGCAGACATGAGGTCCCATTGCCAGCTGCGGAGCTATTGGCAACTGACAGCTGCTGGGGGAGGGAGGGTGTGGCCCCTGGTGTTTGAACACACTCCATGGAAGACCACACATCCATGAACAGATGGGCAGCATGAACTGGACTTGATGAGAAGAAAAAGCAAAAGAAAGAGCACAAAATTGGGGGGGGAGGGGTGACATGGGAGGAGTTTGAAAAGGGGTGAATATGGTTTAAAATGTATGAAATCTTCAAAGAACTAATAATAATAAACACAAAATCATAGCGTGTGGCAGTGTGTAGGCCAGAGGACTACCTTGGGTGTTGTTCCTCGGGTGCCTCTCACCAGTCTGGAACTCACCAAGCAGGCCAGGCTGTGGCCAGTGAGTGCTAGGGGTCCACCTGTCTCCCTTGTCAGCACTGAGAGAGAGATGAATGGTCCACTATGAATAGCTTTTAAAAATACTTATTTTTATTTTTAAGTATATGCATGTATGTGTGAGCTTATGTGTATCACATACACCTGCAGAGGCCATCTATTTCTTAGAAAAGAAATTACAAGTGATTGGGAGCCCCTGATATGGGTGCTGGGAATCAAATCTGGGTCCTCTGTAAAAGCAGTAGTGATCGAAACTGCCATCTCTCCAGCCCCAAGGCCTGGCTTTTTTTTTTTTTAACTTGAGTTCTGGGAGGTCAAACTCAGGTTCTATGACAAAGCAACCTCCACATTTTATATACATATATGTAAAAGGGGGGCTACTGGGAGGAGGAAGCAGACCAGCAGGAGGTAGACACAGGAGAGGAAGGAGGGCATAATGGGGAGTCAAAATGGCCCAAGTACATGAGATGCTTGAGTCAAGTATATGAAAGTACTTGAATTGCAACATCTTTTTGAATCCTATAACGCTACAAAAAATACAACAAACAAACAAAATGTTTCAGTCACTAGAGGGCAAACCAAACCCTCAGAAACCCCACCTTCACCTTGTACTTAAACCTTTGTTCTTTAAAACAGTGAATGGGTTTCCCCAAGTCTTCTAGTGAAGACTGCTTTCTCACTGCAGGCACAAATGAAAACACACCTGCTGTCTCCCAACAGTATTTGTTACCGTTCATTTTTGGAGGGCCGGAAGAACCAAGCAGGTTTAAGAGCCAAAATGAAGGACTCAGCAGAGTTGAGACATACTTGAAGGATTCTAAGAAGCAGCCCACACTCTTGAGTTATGGCCACACTGTTACCGGTTCCTCCTCACTTCTTCCCTCCCTGGCTTCCACTGTCCTGTCGGAGGCTCTCTGACTCATATCTTCCTGTAAATGCACTGGACCCACATGGATAATCCAGGATAATCTCTCCTTCCCAAGTCTTTAGCCACACTTGCAAAGCCTCCTGCCATTTAAGGTCACATTCCCACAGTGGGATTACAAAGTCTATCTTTGGGGTCATTATTCAGCCCACCACAGAGAGCATATTAATTTTTACAGCCCCATGCTGGATTGTCTGGCATAGTGAGGCAAGAGGAACATAAATATGGGTACCAACCATGGTAGCTGGCTTTCTCATAGCCCCCGGGATCTGCCGTGGACTGAATACTTGTACACCACTGTGACGTAATAGGAACTACACTTGGTTTCTACCCACTTCCTGCCACCCCTCTAACCTCAAGACTCTGGATGACTCCTTTCTAATGAGGCACCTCGTGGTGGGCTCCTGGTTAGCCTCACGGTGGGGTGAACACCAGGAAGACAAGCCACAGTCAGGAACTGGAACTTTCTGTCTCCATCTTCCAGGGAAGAGAAAGGGTAAAGATGGAGTCAATACTTGACTGTGCCTACCTGATGAAGCCTCTGTTAAAAACCACCAGAGATGGAGTCCAGGGAGTTTCTGGGGTAATTAACATCTCCATGCTGCGAAATGGCACACTCTGCAGGGACACATGCTCTGAGGCTCAGAACCTTCTGGACCTTAAACCTACAAACATCTTCAACCTATCACATCCTTTCTGACACACCAGAGAATGTGTTCCTCAAATGCTGAGAGCTCCTACAGCAGATTACCAAACCCGAGGAGAAAGTCTTAGGAAGCTTTGCTTTGTAGACAAGCCTAGAGACTCACAACTTGCGACTGGCATCTGAAGCAGGGTGTGGTCCCGCAGGGCTAAGCCTTTAACCCATGGCACTGGTATTCAGAGGCATGACAGAATTGTAAGCCATCCTGTTGGTGTCTGGAGAGTTGCAGGATTGGCTGGGAAAAACTCACCCACCTGGTATCAGAGTAAAGTCTGTGGAAATATAGGAAAACGACTGGTTTTTTCCTTTTATCCCCAATTCATATGCTGAAGTCTGAATAAACAGTGGGAATGGACTGGGAGTGAGGCCCCCAGGAGGTAATTAGATGAAGTCAGGAAGAGTGAGCTCCCACAATGGGATAAGAAGAGGAGACAAGAGCCCATTCTTTCTCTGCCATGTGAGTACTCATCAGAAACACAGCCATCAGCAAGCCAGAAAGAGGAGCCGCACGGCACACTGAAGACACCAGGATGTTAACTCTGGATTTCCAGCCCACTATGTCTATGAAGCTGACTGGGCCTGAGCAATTTTGTTTAAAAAAATTTATACTACTGCAGGGCATTTTAGCACTTTAATCCCAGCATTCAGGAGGCAGAAGCAGATGCGTCTCTGTGAGTTCAAGGCCACCCTGGCCTACATAATGAATGAATTCCAGGCCAGCTAGGGCTACATAGTGAGACCCTGTCTCTCCCAACCTCCATGTGCACCAAATAAAAAAAGACATATTGCCTAAAACAGATCCCTGTTCCTAAAGTTCATGCTCTATGTATGCCACCCTAGTGTTTACACCTTTTTTTGAGACAAGGTCTCAATAACACCCTGGCAGACATTAAGCCTTTAAAGATTGTAAGTACGGATATAGGCGGAGGCAAAGGCCTGTGGCAAAGCACTGAGGGTGGGCTGGACTCCAGCCCATAGGACACATAAAACTGCATCTTGTTCAGAGCCGTGTGAGCCGGACAGCGGCTCTTCCTGTCTTCACATGAGACACTCCAGCCCTGGCAACAGCTTGACTGCCGCTCTTTAAGAGACTAAGACTAGATTTCTAACTCACAGGATGTGTGACTATGTGCCACGTTAAGCCACTAAATTTGGGGATATTC